ACGTAGTTTTGTGGAATAATCTCTACTCTAACACTAGTAAAAAAGGGCTTTTATTCCCGGCTGGCAACCCCCTTTATTCCCGGTTACGCAGCCGGAAATAGGAGTTTGGCAATAAAGGGTTAGTAGCCGGGAATAGAAGTGGACCTTACCAACCGGGACTAAAAAGGTAGTCACGCCAACGTCTGGGCTGGCCCCTTTATTCCCGGTTGGCATTATCAACCGGGACTAAAGGGTCTTTTTTTTTTTTTTTCCTGCTTATTTCAATTGATGATTCTTTTTTGTTTTAATTTGGTTTTCGAATACGCATTATTCGCTGCAAAGTAATATATGTATACGCGTGCGTACTATAAAGTTTTCGTTCGATCAATGCACGCAAGCAACACAAGTAAAAGTAAACTAAAACATAATATTACATTTCATCGTGACATGTAAAGTTTGCATTAATTGTACATTTCATCATCACATGTTCTTTGGATCAATATGAAATTTGGCTTTCATCATCACATATTTGGGTCATAGTAAAACTCACCGCCGGAAGTTAAGTCCTGATCATTCAAAAATCACCTATTGTCTCTTGGATTGCTTTGAGATGGTGTGTGTCCAGGGTTTTTTCCTTCAAACGAACGAGTCTTAAATTTGAGATATGAGATAAAGAAAAAGTATATTAGTATATATATATATATCAAGAATAATGATAAATAAATTGTATCTATCACGAATATATATAACACAATTGATTTTTTTTCTAAGGAAAAATTATACATGTATACATTAATTACATTAATTGATATATATATATATACACACACACACATTAATTTCATACATATATACATTAATTGATATATATATACACATTTCATACATACATAATTTCATACATATATACATTAATTGATATATATATATACACATTTCATACATATATAATTTCATACATATATACATTAATACACATTTCGTCAATATATTTCATAAATATAATAAATATAATAAATATAATATATATATATATATATACCGGCGGTTTAGAATTAATGGAGTGTTGGCGATGGGCGGTGGTGGATGAGGGCGGCTGGATCGAGGCACGGGGCTCTCTGGCGGGCGCCAGCGTCGTCGGGCTACTCCCATGAGGTGTGGGTGGGCGTCGGGATGCCCTCCGGTGAGGAAGAAGGCGGCGGCCGGGCGGGGTGGCCCGAAAGCGAAATCGGCGACGATGTGGCCTTCAGGCGCGTCGGGGCTACTCCGCGAGGTAGGCGGGGCGGCGTCGGGTGCCCTCCTGAGAGGAAGGCGGCGTCGGGGTGGCTGGGAAGGCGAAAATCGACGGCGACATGGCGCAAGGCGTGTCGGGCGGCCGGGGCCCCTCGGTGAGGGGCGTGGTGTCGGGGCTACTCCGGCGAGGTGGGCGAGCCTCGAGGTGCCCTCCGGTGAGGAAGGCGGCGTCGGGGGTGGCCGGGGAGGCGAATCGGCGGCGGCGGAGCTCTGGGGATGCGTTGAAGACGAAGACGATCGATGAGGAGGAAGAGAGAAGGGAGGCGGCGGTATATAGGAGAGGGACCTTTAGTCCCGGCTCCATCCACCAGCCGGGACTAAAGGGCGACTGTTGGAAGGAGCCGGGACTAAAGGATTTTTTGGCGGGCCGCCAAATGCAGCCCTCCTTTAGTCCCAGCTGGTGGCAGGAGCCGAGACTAAAGGTGGGCTATATTTTCATTTCGCACCAACTTTTAAGAAGATCAGTTTATTTTATATATGTTTTGTATTTAAATGTTTAAGTCTTATTATTTGCACAGTAAATTCAATACTAGGCATAAATTTTTTTAGAAAAAGTAATAAACTTTATTTTCATTTACTGCACACAAAAAAAAATGTGACCTAAACTATTATGTTTTTTATTATAAATGTTGAACATAATGCAACTAATACTCACTATTTTCGTTAATGCAAAAATGTAGACTTTAATTGAAATTATTAAATTTATTGATTTTCGACATGAAATTAGTTTTCACGTAATTGTAACGTAAATCTTTAAGTTCTTTATTAATCATTGTATAATTAATTGGTGAGTTCGGGCGGAAATTCAATTAAAGTTAAAAAAGTATCAAACCACCTCAGAAAAATCTCAAACTTGGTGGTGGCTACACATAGGGCATTTGTAGTCATGAGAAAAAGTTTGAGACCAATCCGGCACTGGAAAGCAAATGGACTTCAGAGTCCCAAAGAACCTAGGTGTATAGATAGGGTTCGACGAAATGTTCTATATATCTCTGTGAAGCACGTCAACTCCGCCTATGTCAAAATGGCTTGAAATTTTTTTGGCAGTCATTTACACCCAAAATATGGCCCCACACAAGATCTTAGATTTTTCTGATAATTATTTTTTTATTACATTTTTCTTTGTGCCGCGTGAGACGAAATACGGTGAATTACATATTGAAAACAATATAATTTTGCATCAACCTCCACAAATATTTGTCTCCTAGGGTACAATAGACCATTTGGCAAAGTTTGGCACCATTCCAGATCATTTAGAGGGTGGACCCAGTTCAATGTATAATTAATCGGTGAATTCGCACAAAAATTCAATTAAAGTGAAAAAAGTACCAAACCACCTCAGAAAAATCTCAAACTTGGTGGTGGCTACACATAAGGCATTTGAAGTCTTGAGAAAAAGTTTCAGCCCAATCCAACACTAGAAAGCACATGGACCTCAGAATCCCAGAGAACCTAGGTATATAGATATGGTTCGACGAAAGGTTATATATACCTCTGTGAAGCATGTCGACTTCGCCTATATCGAAATGGCTTAAAAAATTTTGGCAGTCATTTACACCCAAAATATGGCCCCACACAAGATCTTAGGTTTTTCTGATAATTATTTTTATTATTACATTTTTCTTTATGCCACGTGAGACGAAATACGGCGAATTACATATTCAAAACAATATAATTTTGCATCAACCTCCACAAATATTTGTCTCCTAGGGCACAAGAGACCATTTGGCAAAGTTTGGCACCATTCCGGATCTTTTCGGGGGTGGACTCAGTTCAACGTATAATTAATCGGTGAAGTCGTGTGGAAATTCAATTAAAGTGAAAAAATTATCAAACCAATTCAGAAAAATCTCGAACTTGGTGGTGGCTTCACACTGGGCATTTGAAACCCTGATAAAAATTATGAGATCAATCAGGCACTAGAAAGCACATGGACCAAAAAATTCAAAGTATAGTTAACAAAAGAATATAATCGATTAAAGGGTCTTTTCTCTTATTAAATAAATGTTTGGGTGCTTTCTTGTCGAGAAAGTGACTTAGTTCAGATGGCTAGCTAGTGCGCTGCGGTTTGGGCTTTGGCTATGAGGTCGTGGGTTCAATGCCTAGCTGCCCCATTTTTTTTCCAAGGACAACTATATTATTTTATCAAGAAAGATTTTATCCCGATTATAGCCTAGAGCCGAGACTAAAGGTCATCCTTTAGTTCCGGCTGGAGCCTCAAGCCCGGAGTAAAGATTTATTCTCGGTTGGAGGGTTCAGCCGGGACTAAACGATAACCTTTAGTCCTGGCTCTGGGCTATAACCGGGATTAATTGTTGCCTGACTGTCGCCATATACTTGGGGCAGGAACTTTGTATCCTTGTTTGAGGATACAACTGGGACTAATAGTCCCTTTAGTCCCGAACACAAAAATATCAAGACTAAAAGCAAAAAAATAAAGACGGGATGAAAGGTCTGTTTTTAGTAGTAGGGTATGGTCAACCACTTTCGCCAACTCGATCGGAGTCAGGCTGGAACCATTCGATGCAGGTAGTAGACTCAATTACGTTTGAGGCACATGGTCCTCCTCTCTTCAGTTTTCTCCTGATGACGAGTAATAATATACAAAGAAGGAAAACAAGGAAACAAAGCATATATAGGAAGACATGAAGGAAAACCACTTGATTGATATAGACATGAATGAAAACTAAAATGGTTGTAAGTGGTAGAGTCTTACCGTATGTGATCGAAAGGTTTCGGGTTCGAGTCGCGGTCTCCTCGCATTGCACAGGCGAGGGTAAGACTTGCCATTAACACCTTTCCCACTCCGCACAGAACGGGAGCTCTCTGCATTGGGTACGTTCTTTATAAAATAATAAAAATATGAAACAGAGAAGGCCATGCATGCATGGTTTCCAGAAGGCGGGTCCCACCGCACCCAACCCCATGGCCCCACAAAGGAAAGCCACGAGCTGCTACTCCCAGGCCCCAGCGACGCGGGGCGTACGCGTACGCGGTCACCGCGCCAAGCTGCCAAAGTCAACATGGCGCTGGCGAGCGCGCGCCTATCATTGGCGGGCATCGCCGCTGGACACGTGGCCGCTGGGCGCGGTAGATGCCCTCCTCCTCCGCCGCCGCCGCCGCCGTCGTTGTCGTCGTCTCCATCCTAAACATCCCTGTCAATACAAAAGAAAAGAAAAAAAGCCAATTCTTTTGCCTTGGGTTATCCTCGTTCTTCCCCCGTCCCACACGGGTGTCTACGTGGATCCACGTACGCCGATAACCACGGGCCCAAGGGCAAACCAGTCACCCCATCTATCACCCCTGTGTTTGACGCCGTATATATTAGTATTTCTGATGAATAATTTCATTAAGTTACTGTGACTGTGAGCGCTGTACTTGATCCGCATTGTTTAGGTGTGAAAACCGGTGCCGATCCCGTACGAGGCTGGGCTATCGACGGCAAATGTCCGTTCTGCCCCTGCACGACGTCGTCATGCCAATCCACCACACCTACCGCTCACTCTGATCTGATCTACCGCGCCCGCAGGCCGTCTATAAAACGGAGCCCCAGTCCCTGCATCTCAAAAATTTCAAGACTCCTGCCTCTCTCCCTTCTAAGGGCTAGTCGCTCATCTCCTTGTTTGAGAGTCTCTCTCCCTCTGACTGACTCTCTCCCCCTGAGCTCTCCAGTTGCAGTCAACAACAGATCACTGGGTGACCTAGCATTGTTAATTGTTTCCATGGCCATGCCGAGCCCCAGCCGTAGCAGCAGTAGCAGAGTGGTAGCTCCAAACCTAAACCTCCCAGCCGGGTTCCGTTTCCACCCGACGGACGAGGAGCTCATCGTCCACTACCTCATGAACCAGACCGCATCCATCCCCTGCCCCGTCCCCATCATCGCCGAGGTCAACATCTACCAGTGGAACCCCTGGGATCTCCCCGGTAACCACCCAACCAATCCATCCGCCATGATCCATCCATCATGCATAGTTTATCCAACACACACAAAGCTAATCTAGCGCCCACATCTGATTGATTTCAGCCAAGGCGGTGTTCGGCGAGAGCGAGTGGTACTTCTTCAGCCCGCGGGACCGCAAGTACCCCAACGGCGCGCGCCCCAACCGCGCCGCCGGGTCCGGGTACTGGAAGGCCACCGGCACCGACAAGGCCATCCTGTCCACGCCGACAGGTCAGCTCATCGGCGTCAAGAAGGCGCTCGTCTTCTACGGCGGCAGGCCGCCCAGGGGCGTCAAGACCGACTGGATCATGCACGAGTACCGCCTCGTCACCGCGGCCGACGGCAAGACGGCCACGGCAGCCAAACGCAGAGGAGGATCCATGAGGGTTCGTGACGCTCTGCATATTGCTTGTTTTGCAGTTTCTTGCACGGCTAGCTGACATGTTAGTACATATATGTGTTTTCAGCTGGACGACTGGGTGCTGTGCAGGATCCACAAGAAGAGCAACGACTTCCAGTTGTCGTCGGATCAGGAGCAGGAGGGCTCGTCGACGGTGGAGCAAGAATCCCCAAAGCCCGAGTCTCTTGAGCTTGAGCACGACCAGTTCCAGTTCCATCAGACGATGATGACCAAGTCGTGCTCGCTCACCGACCTGTTCAACAGCATCGACTGCTCAGCGCTGTCGCACCTCCTCGACGGCCCACCAGTTGACGGCGGCGAAGCCCTGCCGCAGCAGAACCCTCCTATAATCTACCCAACGACGACAACACAAACACAACAAGCACTTAACTATAACAACAACAACAACTTGAACAACAGCCACTTAAATCTGCCAAACAAAAACGCAGCATGTTCAGAATATGTCGTTGCTAATAATAACTGCAACAACGACGGTGTGAACAAGAGGAAACGGATGACGGCCGCCATGAATGACGGCGCTGAGTCCTTCCATGATGGCAGCAACGGTTTCAGTAGGAAACCGAAGGTGCTGCCAACTGATTCAAGGAACAGCAGCAGCTACTGCAACCAGCAGGTTGTGGACACGAGTGGGTTGTTTCAGTACAGCAGCCTGCTGAGCTACCCATTCCTGGAGATGCAGTAGTAGCTAGTATTTGGCATGTTTGGAACCCAAGATTTTTACAAGAATCGTGCAGGATCGAATTTCACAGCAGTTTAATTTTACATGAAAAACGCAGGAACATGATTTTTTTCCCGTGTTCGAAACCGAGAGATCTTGATGTGAATTCATATATAAGTATATGCAAACTGAAACTTCACTGGGGTGAAAGTGCAAGTGCAACAAAAGAACAAACAGAACCGAAGGTTGAATTTGCGGCCATATTGAACTAACGTCGTCACCGTCTAGGGAGAACTGGAGATGAGGAGATCCATTGAGAGGAAGAACTGGATTGTTGCTTGCTTGTGACCGGAACGCACAATTCAAATTGAGTCACCTGTGGATCAATGAACGATGACCACGTTTCTTGTACTATATATATTTATATAGGAGTATGTGTATTCAGCATGTGCTGCTTAATTGGTATGCCTTATCCAGTTAGATGGATGAATCCATAGCTGTTGTTCTATTGGAATATACCTTTGTTGGTTGTTGCTACCTGCTCATCCCGTTGTGGCTACGGATGGATCAGAGTAAAACGTACCTGGTCAGTGCATCGACCTTGTCCTAGCTAGTGCCATTGAAGTAATGGTAGAAGAGTTTGTGTTGCACGCAGAGTAGATATTGACCTATTGTTTCTTAGAATATATTGTAAATTGTTATGAATTCAACATCATGTTAAAAGTACTTTGGGTACAAATCAACTCTATTGGCCTGATTTATATATATATACAGTAAACATGCATGAATTTAGTTGGACTAAGTTTTATGGGATTTGCTATTTTCAGGTGCCTGAAAAATAGCATTTGTTCAGGCAACGAATGTCAGCCATGAGATGAAGATCTAATGGATTAGATGTACGAATCTTGAAGCAAGATCAAAGGATCACGTTATCACCTGAACCAAAGACAGATTTTTAGACGCGTGCTTTTTAGGAAAAGTGAACCTTTATACACATGAATTTCCTTTGACAAATCTATTGCCTTAATTACATTGATGGACAGAGGATGTGTATATACATATAGTAATTCCACATTTCCACATCTCACAATGTCCTTGCTGATTTAGATTTGAACTGATGATGGAACCAATGTGCAAGCAACAAATACTAGCTTCAGGACAAACCCACCCGTTTAAATCCCGAGAGTCCACGATTACTTGCATAGCATGCATGTAGGCTGGTCACACGCAAAGATCGGCATCCATGGGTGCATATGCGTGAGTGGACCAATTGAATAGCAAAACGTCATCACGGAGATACTCATATTCTAATGGCAGCAGGACGCCGGAAAGACAAACGACGGCGGCGGCGCACGTTGGGAATACCACTTGTTGTTTATTTATTTATATATATAATATATATAATCATGTGTGCATGGTCCACACATAGATAAGCCCTATATAGGGTTTGGTTGATCCTCCCCCATTTGTTCAGAAAGTCTCGTCATTGGAGACAGCGATTTGTTTATGCGGCTTAGCTTGTACACAATCAGTCGTCGGCTACCTGCAGTACAAGAAGATAATGCAAACATTGCAGCTGTATATTGTTAATTACTTTACTTGCCCAGAAGATCGATCTACCTCTGCAAACCCATTCTTAGAAGCAATCGCCAAGAATTTTTACTTATTAACTGCAGTCTGCAGCATGGGGTCGTCAGATGCATTCTGAAGAACCTAAACCATGCCACCAACTGCTCCATATCTCTCCAAACTGCTTCCCCTTCCTGATCAGATCTAGGTCACCTTATATACATCAGTGATGTGTTTGGATCGATACTCTGATGTCTCAGGCTACATATACCTTAGTAGTTGTGTCGGTGTAGAAAGTGACCAACAAGTAAATATTTGTAGTTTTGTCGTACATTGTGATCGGAGGTGGCCTAGCACTCAATGACACAGGGTTTATACTGGTTCAGGCAACGTGCCCAACGTCCAGTTTGAGTCGGTCGGTGACTTTATTCCTGAGCCCAGGTGCACGAAGTTTGCAGTGGGGTTACAAACGAGAAGGAGAGAGATGTGGGGTACAAAAGGTCCGGTCGGACTCCGGTCGGAAGGGCCGAGAGTGACGAGAGCTCCGCTGTGAGCTAAGTGTTCAAGCGTGTGCTCGTGGTTTGAACCTGGTGGTTCTGCTATTGTGTGCTAGTGAACTTGATCGATCTAATGAATCTGTAATGACTTTCTTGTTGGGAGAGAGCGCATCCCCTTTTATAGATGAAGGGGATGGCCTTACAAGTGAGAGGGAGAGAGTACGTATGCTTCTAAGCCTTATTGCCCACGCCGACGGGTACAGGATGATGGTAGGCGCCCACCACACTGTTGGATGTCAGATGCACGTGGGAGGTTGTGTTGTCTTCTTTGGGTATGGCAATTGTCGGCGCCTGCCACACTGTTGATATCTGGAGGCATGCAAGGGGTTTCACGACGTTTGTCTGGTATGGTAAAAACCGGCGCCCACAACACTGTCGATGCCCAGAGGCATGTGGGGGGGAGCCTTACCGTATAGAAGTTAATGACGCCCACAACACTGTAGGGGGGAATGTCGGCGCCTACAACACTGCTTAGGCTCTGCCATGCCAGGGAGATTACAGAGTACTGTTTCCGCAGGTGTACAGGTATGGACCCCGGTATTGCGGTTTGACTTGTGCGCCCTGCCTTACTTTCTCCGTCCGTTTCTTGGTACTTACCGAGCGGGCGTCCCCGGTCGGTTGGTCCCAGTCGGCTCTGATCGCGCCAGTCGGAGAAGAGCAGTGAGCAGGGTTTTGGCGCATCCCTGGTCGGAGACATGGGGTCAGAGTCAGAAGTAGTGCTTTGGCCAGGCCTTCCGGTCGGAGAGGCCATCCAGAGGCGGGCTGGAGACCGAAGCGAGCGCTTCGGTCGGAACGGTGGACCGGAGGCAGAAAACAGGTGCTGCTCCTCCTCGGCCAGACCTTCCGGTCGGTGATTGGATTGCCCTTCTGGCCTGTTGCTTGGATACTTGGGCCGGCCCATGAGTTGCGCATCGTCTGCTTGGGCTGAGCCTTTTGTCGGGAAGCTGGTCCGTGAGGGACCCCGGGTTTATGAACCCGACAGGAGCCCCCGAGCCCCCGGGCGATTCGGGTGGAATCGTCTGGGGGATTTTTGTCTTGACGACGGGTGCGCGCGAGTGCACCCGCGGGTGTAGCCCCCGAGCCCCTGGGCGATTCAGGCAGAATCGTCTGGGGGGTTTTTCATGTTGCCGGCGGGGGAGGTTTTTGTTTTGTCAGCGGGTGCGCGCGAGCGCACCCGCAGGTGTAGCCCCCGAGCACCCGGGCGATTCGGGCAGAATCGTCTGGGGAGTGTTTGTTAGCGGGCGTGTGTGCGTGTTTTTTAGTCGAGATGGAGTCATCAACCAAGGTATCGTTGCGCAGCCGAGGTGGTTTAGTTTTAGGGATCGGGTGAGACGGAGCTCGCGGATCTTGGCGTTGGTGCGCGCCGTGGGATCGGGCGAGGCAGTTAGTTTTAGGGATCGGACGAGACGAAGCTCACGGGTCCTGGCGTCGGTGCGCGCCATGGGATCGGGCGAGTCGGAGTCATGGATCCTTACCTCGGTGCAGCCCGCGTAGCCGAGGCAGTTTGTCAGTTAGTTTAGGGATCGGGCGAGCCAGAGCTCGCGGATCCTGATGGGGCGAGTTCGGGGTCGCAGACCCAGGCGTTTGGTGCGCAGTCGAAGCATAGCCGAGGGATGGGGTGAGTTCCGGGTCGCAGACCCAGGCATTTGGTGTGCAGTCGAAGCGTAGCCGAGGGATGGGGCGAGTTCGGGGTCGCAGACCCAGGCGTTTGATGTGTAGTCGAAGCGTAGCCGAGGGATGGGGTGAGTTCGGGGTCACAGACCCAGGCGTTTGGTGTGCAGTCAAAGCGTAGCCGAGGGATGGGGCGAGTTCGGGGTCACAGACCCAGCGTTTGGTGTGCAGTCGAAGCGTAGCTGAGGGATGGGGCGAGTTCGGGGTCATAGACCCGTGTTTTTTGTGTCTTGAGCCCCCGAGCCTCGTTGGGCTTTGGTAGGGGTCGGTTTGAGTTGTGTGTGTTACCCCGTCCTCGGTTTCTCACAACCGGAGGGGCTGAGTTTTGTCGCTTGCCTCGATCGCTCGGGCTTGAGTGACGCTTTCGGTGAGTTCGCTAACAGGTATGATCGAGTGGAATCCGGGTCTATCATTCGTGACGGGGTCGCCATAGCCCTCTTGTGATATTCCACTGCTCCTTTACCTGCAACCCGATAGATGCCTGGATCGTTCCGGAGACCGACCCGGGTGGCCTACTGGCCTCCCCTCGATGGAGATTCTGTGGGCTTGGCAAGAGGTTTAGGATCGAACGAGAAGGTTGAGATGACCCTATCTGCTTTGGGGCAGACGGGGCGAGGGCCGCACGGGGCTCATCTGCGTTTTCCCCCTAGCTCTATTTGACATGGGGTGGCCTCGAGCCCTTCGTGGGTCGACCTTCAAACCACGGTCGGTCATTGCTCATGTCGAATGAGGCAACTGCCGCTCCGTGATGCAACATGGAGCGTTGTGATGCATTTTGCTGCACGTGCGATGGCTTAGTTCCCGAGCCCCTAGGCGGTTCAGGGCCCGAATCGTCCGGGGGGCACGGGCGTATGGAATGAATGCGTGTATGGTTGTATGAAATGATTATAAAGAAATAGCGGGGGTCGGTAGTGTTACCTTGATGACTCGAGTGACGGGGTTTGAAGAGCTCCAATCGGAAATGTCCGACCCGGACTCGTGCTCGTCGTTCGTGACGGAGTCAGCATGTCCTACATGGGGCGTCCCTTCGCTCCTTACCTATCTGTCGGTGTTTTCCTGAGCCGTTCGATCGACTTAGGAAGCCCGATGGTTTCTCCTGGCGGAGATCCCGTTGTTTGGGTTTTTCCAAGTCCCGCCTGGGGAGGCGAAGAGCTGCCTGCGTGTGGTGATGCTTTGGATTTCACGCTTGGCGTGCAATAGTGGTGGGCCATACCCAGGCCACGTCCT